AGTGCCGGAAAGCCTTCGGACAGCGATTTAAAGTGCTTAGCACGACGATCGTACGTCCGGACATTTAGGTTCTGCGCGGACGCTTTACCGTGCTAAGGAACGCTTTTATTGGCCGGGAATGCGACATCCGTCAAGGTGTATGTGGCCAGCTGCACGCAGTGTCAACGCCACAAGCGCCCATCTACTGCTCCGGCTGGTTTTCTACAGCCCTTGCCACCTCCAAGCACACCTTTCCAACAAGTGGGCATTGACCTCGTGGGCCCTTTTGCAAAGTCGGCTAAGGGCAATCGCTGGATAATTGTATGCGTCGATTACCTCACGCGTTACTGCGAGACGGCGGCCATACCAACCGCAACTGCCAGCGACGTTTCTGTGTTCCTGCTGCAGCACGTTATCCTCCGACATGGCCCACCTCACGTTATCATCAGTGATCGTGGACGACAATTTACGGCAGATATAGTAGAAGAGCTGCTTCGATTGAGTGAGTCCCGCCTTCGTCACTCGTCGCCATACCATCCGCAAACAAATAGGCTCACGGAGCGCACCAACCGCACAATTTTAAACATGATCTCTATGTATGTGGCATCCAACCACAAGAACTGGGATGACGTGCTAACATTTATAACGTAAGCGTTCAACACCGCTAAGCACGAGACAACAGGCTATAGCCCCTTTTTCTTGATGTACGCACGACCACCATGGTACACACTCGACGCAGTTTTGCCATTCTCGGCGCACGAGAACCTCTCAGTCGCTGAAATCCTTTGCCTTGCAGAAGAGGCGCGTCGTATTGCTCGTCTACGCACTTTGGCATCACAGGAAAAATCGAAGGCACGCTATGACGTCCGCCACCGGCCTGTAACTTACCATCCAGGCGACTTAATTAGTGTGGCTCTGGACACCAGTACGAAGACGCGGGTTATGCCAAAAGTTCTTGGTCACATATGACGGACCGTTTGTTGTTCTCAACAAAATCACTGAAGTCACGTACACAATAGCTCGCCTCACGAGAAGTGGTAGAAGAGCCGCTAAAACCCAAGCAGTCCATGAAGTTGTACACACCAAGGTCAATCAATTACCTCACCCGGCGGGCTTCGTCTGCGAGGGGAGGAATGTTGCGCATGCCTGGGATGAAAACGAAGATGGCTGTACATGCTGGCTGCCCCAAGCTGGAGAAAGAAGGAAGACGACTACACTGCGATCGTCAACCTGTTGGCCGCTCCGGCGCTTCTCTTCGCGACCAAAATAAACGGCCCCTTCAGCCGTATACGTCCTGGTCCGCCTTGTGCGTAACAATATATTCCTTGGCTGTTTCCATGAATTCCAATCAAATGAGCTCAACATAATCACTGTTTAAAACACTTGGGGAGCCGCATTGCTACTTTGGTGGTGTGGGCCGTATTTACATATTAAAATCGGTATTAATAATATATCTCCTGTAAACTTGCCTAGCTCTGCACGATGACTCATTTTGGATGAGAGCTGTGCGCTTCGCTCATCCACTTTTTAAATGGCGGTGCGAGAGACTTAGACCTTTCACTTGTTCTTAGAGCAAGCGATTTGTAGTGAAAGTGAGATAATGGGCCCTCGTAGACCGTGGTGGGCGGCCGGTGTACGCGGTGGCTTGTATACGTGTCACACGTTTTGATTTCCCGGTCTTGTATCGAGTGAACAAAGAGACCTTCCATACCCGATAAGTTCGTTGAAGCGTGACAACAAAAAACCGCACGGCTTCTCTTCAAACATCGCGCACAGCAACAGATAACGAGCCCTCAACAAACCGCGCTGCAGCACGCAAACTGCTGTAGGTACCCAGCGAGGTACCCGGGCCTGGCGGGAGATGGCGACAACGGCGGAAGTGACATCACATGAACACTATGTATTGCGAACCAAGACATATCGGGCCAAATACGAAGGGGTATACACAGTATGCAGTGCATGTGGAGAGGAGGAGACTGCCCAACACTTGATAATGTTCTGTAAAGGGCTTCACCCTATAGTTCAGGATGATGGCGCAGAGTTCTTCAAAGCACTGGGGCTTAGGGACATGGAGGGCAAAATAGACATTAAGCGGGTAGAATTAACTAGAAGAAGGTTATCTGATTGGTGGCTAAAGTCAATGCACGAGTTAAAATGAAACCCTTCTCTGCAAAGTACCAGTCCTCAACTTCACTATTTAAAGGGAAAAAAAAGATAAATCTAGTGGTTAGTTCACTAAGTATCGCGGCTAGGTGCCGTTAGCCGCCGCCCGATCTAAAGGGTACAGCCACATACATCCATCCATCCATCCATCGTGTAAATAGGCTGTCGGCGGCGCATTTACAAATACACGCAGCGGCGCTTCGTTGCGTGTGGTCTGAACAGAGTTTCAGCGTATAAAATGCGTCGAGTACAGTTTGCTGTTAATATTTACGCTCTTCTCTACTGAATCGGTGCACGATGCCTATGCAATGTTAACATTTCCCGCGAGTACAGCGCGTTCTGTCTTTGATGGGGATGCTCGCCCTGGCCGCCTCTCTCCACGCTTTCGCACTAAATCACGCCTTCGCCGAATGGTTTATACACGGTTAGCTTCTGTTCCACCCGCTAGGCACTGCTGTAGCATGACTGAACTACTTACTAGCTTCTTTGTCATCTGCATACTACAAAATAAAGAGAAATATCGCAGTAAGCCAACACCACCTAGACTATTTCAATAGCCTAGGTGGTGTTGAGCAAGCCCGCGTATCTGCGATTATCTTAGTACCACCGTTGGCACCTTATACACGCTTTTTTTTTTTTTTAATGCGAAGCATTTCTTAGCGAACTTCGGCGCCTTTGAGCGTATCTAACTAGCCGCCTACGACTTTTAGCTCGCCTGGCCGTTCCGATAATGGCATCAATACCAAAATCGGCATGGCATATGACAGTTTGACGAGTATAACCGACTAGTCATAACATGAAAATTATGACGTATGTCATGATTTACATTCCATGATCTTGTTCCTCTTGTGGTGGTTTCATTCACATGACATTGCATAACTCGCGTGGTATAACATGACTGCATGGCGAACATAAGTGATAGACCTTAACATGGAATTCATTACATGCATGCCATGTAGGTCGAGACTATCACGCCACGCTCATGGAGAGCTCGCGCTCGTTTCCGTACCTTCCTGTACACCTAATTTGGTATTACTGGACGTGAAGAGATGAAGGTATATTACTGGTGATAACATGATAATCATGAGATGCGTGGTGTGAGGTTTAACGTCTAAAAACCACCATGTGAATATGACAGACGCCCTAGTGGAGGACTCCGGAAACTTCCACCACCTGGGGTTCTTCAACGTGCACCCGAATCGGCAAACGGGCCTACATCAATTTCGCCCCCACCGAAAATTCAGCTGCTGCAGCCAGGTTCGATCCCGCGATTTGCGGATTATCAGCAGGGTACCTTAGCTACGAGACCAGTGGCGGGGCGATGCGTGTCATGCAAGAACATGACTACATGCCACACTCATGATGTGCGCGCAGTTGTTTCGCTAGCTTCACATATAACAAATTTGGCGTTACCGGAGGTCAATGGGTGACAAAGGTACTTATATGACTGGTCCAAACATGATAATCATCACATGCGCGTAATGTAAGAACAAGTCAACATACCATGCTCATGTTGCGCTAGCAGCGATTTCGCTAGCTCCACATATACCTAAGTTGGTGTCGCGTGACGCGGATGACGACGAAGGCAACTGACATGTCCAGTAATGACAATCACGATACGCATGCCATGTAAAACATGACATCCTACGCTAAAAGCGTGCTCACGGCTGTTTCGCTAGCTCGAAATATGCCGAATTCGATTTCACTCGACATGAATTGACAACAAAGGTAAAGACACGTCCAAGGATGGTAATCATGACATCGAAGTCATGTACGGCAAGATTTACGTTCTCCTCGTAACGTTGCGCTGATTTGAAAGCAACATATTAACCTTCCTCATTTGTGCTTCGCATATAATCTATTACCACTGCACGTGGGATGTGTCAATTTTTTTTTTTTTTTTTTCATTCTGTTAACCACGAAATGTCAGACAGTCGATAAGTATAGTCAGGAAAGCTTGATGGATGATGGCACTTTGTGCGACACTGCGTTTAGATGCACGCACACGTTCTTGCACCAGTAAAAATCTGATATAAAAGAAGCTAACATCGATGGACAACGTGCATGACGGTGCTACAAATGCCTCGTTAATAAAACTTTTTTTTTCAGACAAAACACAAACACTGAAGACAATGTAAAAAACAATTTTCAGTGAAATCATATGACATATTCAAGGCATGCCGTCGGAATTAATTTTCAACGTCTGGGCTCTTTAAAGCATTCTTAAATCTAAGCACAGTAACTCAGTTTGAAGTGCAGTTTAAATACCAATGTGTCACAGTTCGTGTAATAGTGATATTTCTATGTAGTGCTACCACAGCTAGATAAATACAACTAAGGCTTCTCGTATGATCGACAAACTGCAGTGTCGTAGTAGTACACCTACCAACAGAGCGCAAGTGCATGGTCTAGAGCGTGTTTTTTTTTTTTTTTTTTCACAACAGGCGCTATAAAACACTGAATTCACACATTATTTAATAGTTCAAGAGGATGCCAAGAGCATTTTGCGCTGTGCTTGAAACAAAGCGGCACCCGCTCTGAAATTATTCTGGTGAATGGAGGGTACGACGACAATAAACCGCACTCTGGAAAGTTGCATTGGCCGATCTTATTACGGATGCATTAGAAGCCGAGCAAGACCAAATGCTTTTGTACATTGCTTCAGGCATACCTAGAAACAGTTACACTCGCGCTTACACGACCGCACAAACCACACTTTGAGAATGTGGATGACGTATGCACACATAGAAGCACGGCGTGGCTAGCAGACGACCCATGGAGCGATCCACACTTCGGCCAGTTGCATCGGCTGTTTGTGGGTAAACTAGACAGTGAAAACGCCCAAGCCAGTCACCAGCACTGATGGTAAAACACAAGCTTTATTCACAGGTATGAACGGCTCCACAGGACTTGCCTCTTCAGTCAAAGAGACCTGCGCAAATAAACAAACAGAATAGCCAGCCAGCCCCCAACGAAGTTGCGACAAGATTGAGTCGTTTAATCTGCTTACTGAGGTAAAATGACTAACAAAAGAAAGCACAATCGCCAAAATTCTCCGACTACTTCTCAAACCGCCTCAACTAGGCACATAACACAGAAACTATATCAAACACGTATGGAATTTCATGCGTTGAAAGAATATAACTGTTCAATGTCATGAGCGCGCACCTAATTCACAAACATTGCAATCAAATCGCGAACAATCATTCAAGCACTACACGTGCCACCCTCGTTTTTATTGATGCAGTGATGAAAGTGACTTTTTACTTTTTGAAGCATACCTCGGAGTAGGAGAAGTACCATTTTGGGGGAGCCATAAATGCTTTCGGAGGGCATAAGAATGTTACTTTGGAGCAGTTATTGGCGTTTCATGAGCAGATACAAAATTTGCCATGCACCGATTGGAATTCATACCATCGACCAAGCATGGCGTAAATATTATTTGGTATAAAATATATTGCAGACAACAATATAAATTTGAAGAAACAAACAATTATAAAAAAGCATCTGGTTACTAAAATATGCTCTGAAATGAGCTATATAATTAAATAGCAATATTTGTACCAGAAATCAAATCAAACTGGTTAGTCACACCACATTTTAGAAGTAACCATAGTTCCACATATTTGTTGCCAAATGGAAGTAGATGACCAGTATGACATAAGAGCAATCCTGTTTATTTATTTCACCACAATGACCTGCAAGTCTAGCTGAAAAAAAAAAAAAGCAACTGCTGAATGAGCTACATGCCCAATATATGCCAGTTCTTGTTGCACAAATGAGATCATAGCGGACAATGCTACACACTAGTAGCATACAGGAGTGATAGTGAATAGGTTCTTAATTTCTTTAGGACTCATGAACTGGTTAAACAGTAAGTGTGTCATTCTTATTAGTTTTAGAATAACGCACCCCGAGCCCTTGTTGCCATTGCACATGCGTCGTACACGAGCCGCCGTTCACGTTCGCGGCCTGCCGCACTTGCATCACTGTCAATAAAGATATCGCATGCGACCACTACAGAGACGCAACCAACGCCGATTAGGCCTAGCCTGCAGTTTTAAGCATGTCACGGAAAATTTGTCCCCAGACAAAAAGATCTGGCGTCGAAAATATCACACTCAACCAAGAACAGTGTGCGTGATACAAAGTTCGCGTTTGTGGCCGGAAGATCAATGACGAAAACCCATTAAGCTTACATAAGATCGCACACTGGCAGCAAAGACAAAATCTTGCATCATACAACAGTAAAAGGTTTTAAATTTGCAGAGAGGTAGAAAATGCAATATCTGTAGCAAGCTAAAAAACAATGACTCGTTTTCCCAACAAGAAACGGTTAAGCACAGTTGATAAGGACGGGACCGCACAGGTCATGTCGAGCCGCGCGCGGCCGGTGCCACACTAGCGAGTTTACACTGTAGCCGCATCAGCGTGCTGAGGTCTTTTTTCTTCCTCTTTTTTCTTCTTCCCTCCACCCTTTGCTCGTTCACTTGCAGTCTCCTCCTACGCGAACTCTCTACTACATTTGTCAAGGGTTCCTACAACCACATTATAACTGATCTTTCATCTTGGGGTCTGAACGATAAGGGGTATGCACAAGGGGCTCTATAGGAAGGTGAACGAGAGTCGAAAAAGATTGCACTGTAACCAGTTCTGTACTGTAAGCAGTTAGTTTCCTGCACTTAGTTTGCAGGAAGTTATCTTCACGTTAATCAAGCTACTCTGCTGCTGGTCTATGCTTGGCCTGGAGCGTGGCGGGAATGAGCAATGACACGGCAACTACCGTATTTACTCGCATAATCCTCGCACTTTTTTACCGGAAAACCGATGAAAAGTTAGGGGGTGCAAGAATTACGCGGGGAAAACTTCCTACCAAAACGTACAGAGCGAAAAAGAAAACGAAGTGGCCGCAAATCGGGATTCTCACACCAGCAACTAACAGCAAGCTTTAAGCAGTACTAATTAAAACTTACCTCAACAATAAAAGCAGAGGTTCAACACAAGACAAGATTCAATTGAGACACAAAAAGTGGAAGCAAATAGTCGAGAATTAGAATACCATACGCAAAGCTTGCGGGCGTAGCGGTAGCGTTCGTCACTCAATAGGAGCCCTCGAAAGGTAAGCGTGGGACGTCAGTATTGGGCTGATGGCTATGTAACAGAATTGTCGGCAGTTTCCTTCTTCAGAAATAAAGTTTACCATCAATCCAAGTTTTAGGCACACGGCAGGCCCAACGTGTCTTGGTGGCTTTAAGCAGCCCTCACCAGTAGCGAACACAAAACTCGTAGACTCCGAAGGGCCTACCGGCGGCCCTGTTGTCGTTCTTTAGTGCATTATCTATCACTTGCAATTTGAAAGCAGCCGTACAGCTTCAGTATCGCCTCATAACTTGACAAGGTTACCGATGCAACATACAAAACACGCCGCAACGCGCACTGGCCACTTCAGCTTGGCTTGAGTTGGATTGAATCTTTGCGCAATAGTACGCTTGATGCTTAAGAGATGGCGCCAGATGACGTGCACTATCATCATCAGTGGCTAGAAAAAGCAGACATTATTGCAGCAGTTTTCGGGGGTGCGATAATTACTCGAGGAAAAAAAGAAATATTTTTGTTGGGCGATGGGGGGGTACGAGAATTGTGCGTGTGCGAGGATTACGTGAGTAAATACGGTACGTGTGCACGGTGCAGTGATTGGCCTGACAGTGAGAGCGTGGGCTGGATAGACAACATGCAGCTAATGAGGAATTTTTTTTTTTTTTTCATTTTGTGGACTATACAATTGCATAGCGCAGGTTGCCATGGAAACAGAGAATGGCGACATTGTGGTTGCAGCAGGCAGAGGCAAGTGGTGGGTCAAAGGTTGACACCACCCTAGAAAATGAAGACGCACACACATGAAGGCTCCCTAGGCCAGTGTGCATTTCATGTTAGTACCTACATAACCTATGCAGTCGCTACAAAAAAAAAACAGCTATAAAATTTTATTAGCTGACATTGCTGCCATTCTTTTTTGCTGCGGGCGCATGAGCGGATGTGCACAATTTCGTTATATCCAGGTTTAACAGTACCGTGATCAAATGCCGACTGAATATTCATGAATGCAAAATATGAACTTTCTTTACCCCAGGTTGACGATTAGGAAAGTAGAGTGAGACAGGATGTCTTCTTAGAATAGAAAATCTATTCTCCTGGAAGTTCATGCCCTTCTACATACACCTCGATCGCGCGCATGCGGGATCGTTACCTAGTCAAGTTTTATCCACACAGAGTAGCTTCAGCCAACCAAAAAGCTGATATTTCACGTTTATGGTCCATGTAAACGTTTCTTGGTCAACATACAGCTGATTCCCCCCCCCCCCCCCCCGCCTTGTCGTGCTTGAAGGCACAGGTGCAACACAGCTTTTTTCACCGGGCTAAATTACTTTCACTGGCAACAATGTTCGTAATGACTGCGGGACATCACTAATTACCCGTTGGTGTTATTAAACCAGGCCAAAAATTTACTCACCAAATCCCATGTCATCATCCTCCTCTTCAGACTCCTCCTTCTTCTCTTCCTTTTTGGCCTCTGCACAAACAGCAATAACAATGCATTCAGGTTCCTTTTCAAGAACTGCAATGGTACCATCAGGAGCTTTTTCTTTTCCTTTTGGTAGCATCTACAAGTTCACTCATTCTAAGGACGGGAACGCAGCCCCTGAATATTGAAGAATTACCAAATTAGAAGGCTGGACATTAGGGTCATTATGTGCTATTAATTGACATTTCTTCAAATGATATATAAATAATTTGCCAGCACCAAATTCCAAACAAGTCTGTAAAAGTAGGGAGGGCACCTTCAGCAAGGCACAAGCTGAAAGCAAGCCCAAGTTCCACTGTGCACTATCCAAAGTGTTCATCCAAGCGAACTCATCAAGCTTTTGTTTTGCTCTCGAATTCTTGCCGTTTTCTTTCCACCACGTCGAGTGGAAGCAGAGGTAGAGTGGCTGAAGCAAGTTTATCTGGGGGGCCAATGAGGGCGTTACTTTCCCCACATCCCAGGTGCAAAAGGTGCGATTGGACTACGTGAGTGTTCCCTTGACAAGCATAGGAATGCATGGGTTCCATTGGCTACTATGTGCGATGATGTGGTGGTCTTTTCCAGGTAGTGTTCGCACTTGCTGTATTTGTGTCTGCTTTTGTGGCCTGACTGCACTTGTCCTAATGGCTTGCAGCATTTCTTTACTTTAGGTTTATCCTTCGCACTAGTTTATTAAAGGGTCCCTGCAGAACTTTTCAAGTATCCAAAATATTATGATTATAAATGGCTTAGTGGGTACCCAGCAAGAGTGCTTGCCCAGAGTGTTATAGAAAGGGCTCTCAAAGGTCGCTCTTCATGCTTTCGCTGTGACTGCAGAGCATTCCGTGCAGGCCTGGCGCATTTGTTCCTTGACGGTGGGATTAGATTTAGGGCCACATTTCTCAGCTGGCTTGCAAGGTATGTCTGACCAGATAAAATGACGGTGCGTGCCCATTGGCCTGGCGATGGATATCTATCGCCGGGACAAGGCAACATCATACCAGAAAAATAACCTATGTGTCATTGCTGTGGCAACAAATGTGGAGGCTGGCAATGACGGCCTTTGCAAAACGTCGACCCTGTTCTTAGGGCCACATTTCTCAGCTGGCTTGCAAGGTATGTCTGACCAGATAAAATGACGGTGCGTGCCCATTGGCCTGGCGATGGATATCTATCGCCGGGACAAGGCAACATCATACCAGAAAAATAACCTATGTGTCATTGCTGTGGCAACAAATGTGGAGGCTGGCAATGACGGCCTTTGCAAAACGTCGACCCTGTTCGCGAACGGAAAACGTGCCATACGATCTTAACATGCCATACCCACACTTGCTGACTAGGAAATTCACATTTCCCACGAATCATTGGTGGCTGCGGCAACCCCAAATTTTCAGGACAAGGGCTTGATGTTTTGTCGGCTCGCCGATTGGTATCCGCTATGATCCGCGGAATGATGGGCGCGTGGCGTTGATTCATTTTATGCTTTATTTGGTCGATCCCCATTCGGGGGTGTCCTAAATTATATAACTTGGTGTTTCAAGGTTAGGGTCTGTCACTTGGTTTGATTGATAATGCAAAGTGCAAGTGGGCAAGGTGGCCTCCATTTTCACTAAAATAAATGCACGTGAGAATTTTTAAAGGCTGGTCAAGCATTTTGAATAGGCGTGGCCCGATTTAAGCCAATTTCATGGCTTTGCCACAGCTGTTGCACCTCTGCTTATACATACTTTTCATTGTATGATCTTACTAGATGTTATGCCTAAATTGTGATTTACTACAATTTAATCGGTAAATTGAAAATGGTTTGTCTTGGCACAAGGCTGCCTTCTGTGTATTGGGTAGCATGCTTTAAACAATAAGCAATGATTCACGTGAAATCATTTTTTGAACTTCCTGTGCACCTATGTGGCCTTAACTAGGAGGATAGACGCAGTAACATGAATGCCTTTTGTGGCGGATGGCCAGCTGTACACCATGAAGCCATTATAACAACCATGTTCTGACCCCTCATGGCAATTTAAGCTGGTACTAAGCATTAGTACTGCAGTATTACATATTGCTTTGTGAAGCATGTATACAGGATGTGTGTTTGTAAAACAGGAAAGTAACTCTGAATTTCTACATAAAGGATGCTATTTTCACTGTAGATCAGAGCAGACGCATGGCGCTGTACTAGAACACCTGCTTGCCACGCTAACAACTCAGGTTCGATTCTCCCCTAGACCCTCAATTTTTCATTGTTTTTTATTTGAATGTTTCTCAATTCTATGGTCACGCAGATGATGTTTTGCTCACAATCAACGTCGCTGAAATTTTTGCTATTCAATGTTTTGCTATTATGCTTCAACACTATCATACAAAATAAATCGCCCCTTGCATTACAATCAAGATTCAAGCAAATATGGTGTAGCCATGATGTTGGTGGCATTGACGGCACAGACAGACCACAAGAATCGGGCCAGCCTGCTTCCTGGCCATCAGCTGCTGTAGTCTCCTTCTGGCACCAGGAGGCTCAGAAGATGCAAGCACTCTGGTGTGGCGTATGTCAGGAGACAATGGTGTGCTCAGAATACGCATGGCCAGCAGCAAGAACACGCACATCGGAATACCTGCCAATATAGAAATCCTTAAAACCACCGACGGTTTTCAGCGGGCGGTGATGTGGTTTTCCGGTTGAGCTGGCATTTTCGCTTGAATTTTCCAATGCGAATTCTCCAGGACTTGTTTTTTTTTTCGAGTCGACTTTGAGGCGCAGTTTTCCGGCTGCTTAAGCGTGGAAGCGAGTGAATTTCCAATGAATTTGGCCGCTTTTGCTCACTCTGATGTTAACTGTGAACGCCCTGTGCCAGCAACATGAGCGAGGAAACTGCGACACTCAAGAGACAGTGACGGCAGGAAAGTTCAAAAGAACATCACATACTTTTTTTCAGCAAGGTGTAGTTGCCAATGAAGTTTCTTGTTCATCATTGTTGTCAGCTTTAACTCGTGTTTCGTTCATACTGATTCGGGCTGATCCAAATAATTTAGGTGCTCCCTTCAAATACGTATCATTGAGATTCTACTGTAAGACCCAACATCAACGACTACTAACAAGCTGTATGGAGCTGACAAAACTGAACTGTGCTAGCCTTGTCACCTCATAGAAGGAAGCGTGCGCTACATCCATATGCTAGAAAGAATGAGCTGGGGTTTTTTTTTATAAAGAGTAGGCCCCGACGTCGTATACACAGGGTGGCCCGCATTTAGTAGTGATTCCAGAATCAGCTACTAATTTTGAAATTTGTTTTCCAAAAAACTGAATGACTTAGGGTTGTATACAGTGGACTCCCATCAAACGAAACTCGCTTAAACGAAAAAGCCGCTTAAACAATGCTACTTAGGCACATTTGGTTGGTCTCCTATATATTTAATGATTAAAAGTTTTGGGTAATCAAAAAAATTTTTTTTTCACTTACTTAAGGGGGGATGCTACACCTTCCAAAAACTCTTATTTTTGCGAGTACCTCAGTCAAATTTGGAGAGCCTATGTAGATTTTACTGCTGATTTCAAAAATCTAATTCTTTTTTTGCTGTGACAATTAGTTTTGAAGATATAATGAACTGCGGCTTTTTCAATTAAGGCCTAATTAGCTAATTAACTGTAACTTGGATATTGATGTGCAACCTATAGAACCAATTCGGTATGTTCACAGTGTGCAATAAAGTATAAATCATTGTTCTGGGCTATTTCGAAGCAAAGTTGTGGGATGTTGAATATGACATGAAAAATTTCCCCATCTACACTTGAAACAAAAGATCAATTTCGAGAATTTTCTCCAAAAATTATTACAATAAAACTTACTTTACGACACATCTCCTGCATTTATCTTCGAAACAAAAAAGAAATCGTAATGATAACCCAGATAGAACAAGAGATATTGCTCCGGCATAATGGGAAGCACATGAAAATTGTCGTTTTGAGAAATCGAGAAAAAACGTGGGCACACATTTTTATTGCAGAAGATGCAACAAGACAACTTCAAAACGCACCAGAAGCATAGTCTGAATGCATTCTGTGCTCATGCCTCCTCTTCACTAGCTTCCGGAGTTCCAATGAGGCTGTTCTTTTCTTGTTGGAGACAATGCTGCGACGGTGGTCTTTTTCTCTCGCTCTCCTGGCACCAGTACTTGTCGCATTCATGTCCATTTCACCTAAGATTGCCGTTGCAGAATTCAAATTGCCCGTGTTGAAGTGCAGCACTGCTTCTGCAACAGCTGCTTCAACAGCGAACAGGGACGCATGGTGCTCCTTGGGGGCCAAACTCCAGATTACCGAATGTAGGCTCTCGTTGGAGTTCTGCGTTTTGCCGCGTTCGCACCTCTGAAGCAGGGCTCTTTCCGAAAGCCGGGTATAAACCGGTAGTAATGCCTCTGCCACGTCTTCGGTAGATTGTAGGCATGCCTGGGGTCGGGCTCACCCTTTGCTTTTGCGGCATTGTGCCGACACCATGAAGTTTCACCAGCTGGGCACAGACTGTGGTCCGAGCATTCATCAGTGGAGGTGACGTGGCGGTATGTGGCCATCACAGCCTTTTGCATCTCGCCCACGTCACCTTCATGCGATTTCAGAGCCCGGCCATAATATGTGCTCAGCCTGGTGATCAGCTCACCTGTGAGCCTGCCTTTCCCACCAAGGCCTCTTTTCCCATCGCACTTTTGTTTCTGCACCAGGTTTCTCAATGCGGTGCCCATCCGTTTCTGTACATGATTAATACAGTCTTCCTTCTGCACGTCAATGTAACCATACACCTTGGCGTCTTGTATGGCGCAAAATGTCCTAGAGTCTCCATCGGACAGCATAGTTGTGTAGCGCAGGCCATGGCGTTTAAGCGACCTCTGAAATAGAATTAGAGCCGCCTCCACTTCCATTTGCCCCGCTTTGCTGTTCGTATTTTTTTGGCATTTGTGGTTAGCCTTCCATTCTTGATAGCCCTCACTACTAGGCTTTGGGCCCACCTCGCAGCCTAGGCAAAAGTTGGAAAGAACGACGTAGTCCAACACGTAGCCACTAAATAATTCGATAACTGTGCCCACGCCGATGTGGGAAGAATGGCCTCGGGTCTTCCACGTGCCGTCGTAGCTAACGGCAATATTGCCCCGGTGGCCGAAGCACAAGTCATCATAAATTGTTCTAACCTTTTCCGCACATTCGCTCATAGCGGACTCAGCCGCTCGTGTTGCAGCGGGTGCCAGCGTGTTCTTCAAATGCCGCTGAAACGTCTTGTGGTGCATACCGCGGTGTGAGATGCCCATTGTTGCGAAAATATCGTTCATTTTCGTTTGGCCGTTGCCGGTAGCCACCATCACCCTCGAAGCGAGAAGATTTACTTCAAACGGATTGCACGTTTTCGTGCCGTTCGCGCGAGGCGAAGTCCATTCATTCGCGATCTCGCCGCACCTTTCACACTGCACTAGCACTTTCACGGCAAGTCCGTAGTCCCGATCCCCTCTGACGATCGTAGCCGGTCCGTGACAGGCTTTGCAACACAAGGCACCCATTATCGGGTTAGGGTATCTAGATGCATAAGCAGATAAGGAGCAGCGTGGTCCGAGTCCTGTGCGGTTGCCTCGCTACAACTCGCGGTGAAAAAGTCAATTTTCCGTGCAGTTGCTGGCGCCGATGAAAGCCGGTCGAGCGTCGCTTTCTCCCGGGCATGATTTTCTTCAACTTCGGCGTTTGTCACCACCTTGGCGTCGATTCGTAGTCGTCCGGCGTTCGCTTCACCGTCATCGTCATCGGAGGCAACGCGCTCGGTCGCACCATCGCTGAACGGCCGCGGAGCGTCGACACATCGTTCGTCGGAGTCAACCAAGGGCTCTGATGACTTCGTAGACTTTCTCCCACGACCTTTGCGTTTCCTGCGACCAAATGCGTGCACGGTCCGATACTTTTTTGCGTTTCCAGGCATGGCGATACGATCAGAAGCTTCAGAGTGCTCTGCCGATTTCGAGGAGTCACAGCGGTAACCCTTTCAAAATGGCGTCGGGTCGCGTATGCAGGCGCAAGCCGCGAGCTTCCAGCCAACCGGAAAGCGCCATTTCAGTCACGTGCGCCGTTTAGCCAATGGCAGTGAGCGCGGCTCTTCGTCTTTGAGGCCCCGTTTTTCGAGCCGGGGAAACGCTCAATGTTGCTTACTGAATAAAAAAAACGGCTGAAAACGCGTTCTTTCAAACAAGACCAAAATGGCGCCGATCGAGCGCGTAGTTCCCGCGTATCGTAGAGCCGAAACCTGCGCTATTCGCCCTCAATTTAAAGGGCAGGACGCCCGTTTTCAGTTTTTTAAAGTTGAATAACGATAAAAGTTGATGGTATTCGGCTAATAAATTTTGTAAATAGGTGCGCAATGATGTCGGGAACGCGAAAAGAAGGTCCGCGAAAACTCGATTTTTTGGCTGATTTTCGGTCCCGAAGTGCCGCGTCCCCCCTTAAGTTAAATGAAACTAGAACGGGCAAAATCCAAGAACGAAGAAAGTGGCCACGACAGTCTAGCAACCATGATACAAATGCCGAAGCTAGTTTAGCCAAGTCAATCCAGCAATTGCACGTCTGCGCACATTGAGCAGTAAACGATCCACCTCGTTTCCATTTCGACGAGAACTTGAGATGGAAACAAACAAAAAAAACGGCAGCACATTGCACTTTTGCTCGCAAAGAAAGCCAAAATGATTTAAGAACTTGACCGCAACGACCTATCGATAACAGAAATTGTGAAGTTCAATATTGCCAAGTACACACTGTTGAAGATACTCAAGAACAAAGTAAAAATTGAAGCAGCTGCAGAGCTTGGGAACTTCACCACGGACAGATTGCTGATGAGAACTGCAGCGTACAAAGAAATCGAAGACGTTTTTTCTGATTCAAGCCTGCGTGGAGTGCGAACTTCCCAATCAGTGGCCCCATTTTCGAAGAGAAGGCCAAAGAGATTGCTACTCGCATAGAGATCGAGCACTTGAGGGTGAGCGATGGCCGTCTGAGGCATTTTAAAGCGGCATGGTCTTGTCTTTAAGATAGTTTCTGGAGAAAGTGTGGCTGTAAACAGATATCTGTAAGCAATATTAGCAACATTTTTTTTTCTAATCAACTATATAAGGATTGTATACTTTAAAATGTTTTTGTTCGGTCAGCCACAGTTGGTGCATTCGAAATAATGTCGCATTTCATTCTTTTTGTGGGCCTTGCTTAAATGAAACTTCTCATACATGGAACAAATTTTCTTGCCCCTTTGAGTTCCGTTTAAGAGGAGTCCTCTGTGATTTGACACATATCACCACGGCACCAATGCAAGCACATGTTCAAAGTTTTATTGAAATCGGTGAATACCAAAAAAAAAACGGCGAAGTTCCCCTATAAGGAACAGAGTAATTTCAGGATATCATGTTAGCTATACTGCACAATAAAACTGTCATTAACATTCAACATTGGGCTCAATGCTAGTATGACATCATTCCCTCTTAAAGGGACACCAATGTGATAGGATGAATTGGTATAGATTGATAAATAGCAGTCTGAGAACATTATAGTCAATATCAACATCACGGGCTTATCTAAGGGCAAATGTCAAGGTTAAGGTGTTGCCTTTGTTTCTCTTTTAGTTTTGCGGTGAAATCTCTGCAAGTGACATACCAAATTTCGAAGTGAATTTTTCAAATTTCAGTGACATTAACTCTTGAATTTCATTTCAACTAAGTTAAGTCTCTGGACAACGTATTCTTCCACCACTCACCCGCCTTGCCTCCTGCTGCCGGTGCAGCTGCTGCTGCTGCAGCTGCCGGTGCTGCGCCCGCTGCTGGCCCAGAGCCCACACCTGAGCCAACGTTCGAGATGAGGCTTTTCAAGTCCAGGCCTTCCAGCGCTTTGGCAAAGAGGCCTGCACACATTGGGCATCTCAGCTCGCTCAAAAAACATCAACAATTCCAGCACCCCATCCAACAATGGGAGAGACTTCACAGGTATTTTTCCTTTCGCATGAGATTCCTTGGCGTTTTTTAACATGATGCAGAAAACAGAACTCAAGAATAATTACAATAATAGACTTCAGCAGACAACTGAGCACTATTGCAATCACTGTTGACTCCTGCAAGAAAACTACTTCTCGAAAAGTGCCTGAAAAATGTTATTTAACTACCCTGTGCTTGGTTGGCCACATCCATTTTACTTGCTGATGGCAAATTAGACTGTATTGCCGGGCAATTATTTTGAAACACAGTTTTGCTTTCAGACTACCCTGCCTGTCACGACTGAAACCTGAAAACCACTATTCGCCTCGCACAAAGGCAGCAAAAGCGCCTTGGTCGAAAGTTATGTTTTGCCAAGCAGAATGCCCGATTCTCTCCAGCAAAAGCACACTCTGAATTAAGACTTCTGGAGCAGGTGCCTGTTTCTGTTATGCTAGTTTTGCGATACATTTATGAATTGGTTCTATCGCACGAGCATGAAGTAACCCCTTGCATCGAAGATTCAAGTAAATATGGTGCAGCGCCTAGAGCTGTGTTGGTGGCATTGGCGGCACAGACAGACCACGAAAACAAGGCCAGCCTGCTTCCTGGCCACCAGCTGCTGTAGTCTCCTTCTGGCACCAGCAGGCTCAGAAGATGGAAGCACTCTGGTGTGGCGTATGTCAGGAGACAATATATAGTGTTGTTAGAATGTGCTAAGCCATTCACATGACCATGAGATCGCAAGGTCAGAAACGTACAATTCTGGATGTTGAAAGCCATCACAACGAGCTTACCTACGCATCTGCACCACCTTGGTATAATCACGAATAGGAGATAGACCTTCAAACGACAACTTAATAAAAGGCATGCAGAGTGGAGTGTCGTATACAGTTGACTATACAGTCATATACAGTTATGCAGTACTGCAAAGCGCGGAGCGAGTTCCCGACCCACCAACTAATGACACCAATCAGTTTTGCTAAGGGGGACGCGGAAGACCAACGCATGGGAAAAAGGAGGCTACGTCGTTCACACGGGTTACGCGCAGAGCCGCCAAGGTCGCCCCCCGTGGGACAAAAAGGTTAAAGCTTATCCGGAAGCGCATCTTGCAAGAACCAGGTCTAGCACGGTTGTCGGGGATAAAGTTTGTTTGGCATGCACGTGTGCCGTTAGGGAATGCCGCACGAACGTGACCACTGAGCCGACTGAGACATAGTTGCGGTATGCGGGCGAGCTTGTCCCCCTGCGATAAGTCATTACGGAGTCGTCTGGAGATGGCGCGGCACCTTGCTGTCGCATGCACACCTTATCAGTGCACAGGGCCAAACGGTGTGCTCATACATTTGTGGCGGTTTCTACAAGAGACGAGTGCGCGAGCTGACGGAGCTCAATCCTGGGAACGGCTACCGGCGGACATCAGCCGATACACAGAAAGTGTGCGAGCCGCTGAGAACCTATCCCTTCAGGTGTTGCATACAGTAACATGCTCGTCTCCAAAGTTGTGTCCATCATACAAGTGTTCATGCGATTGGTGGTGGTTTTATGAGCCCCCACATAGGATCGGCTTGTTTGGACAGCTTTTGCGTGATCAAGGGTTCAAAGAGGGTGTTTGAATGTGAAACGGAGAGCAGAGGTTCAGGCTTGAACCCAGGCAGACGCCAAAGTGTCGAGTCTCTTCACCGGACTTGGCCTCTTCCTTCGCGCTACACCCATTCCGAACCTCAAACACCTTCCCTCCTTAGCGAGAGCAGAAGCCAGTCGAAGAGTAGGTAATTAACTCAACAGCAGCACTTTTATGTGCACAAAATCGAGGCAAATTAATTTGTCATAACGAGCACACACATGTAAAGTATCAACTTTCATGAAAGGGAACGCGCGAGGGCATGGCCAGCGCTCTGCGGCGGCGGCCTAGAGCACCATCAGCCGATAAATAAAGAAAGTGTCTGCTTTTGGCAGCATCACCCGTTGCGAGACCTGGGCACCAGCACAATTTAGCAGTGCTAGTCGAAAGGTCACGGCTTGTTTCGTTTGCGAACAAATGACGCGAAAATCGGTCACGCTTTTTTAATCTGTCGGTTGATGGTGCTGTAGGCAGCCGCGGCAGAGCGCACGTCACGCGCTTACGTGTTCCCTTTCAGAAAAAAATTACACTGAACTCATTTTAGCTGGTCCAGTCTACCACAGGACTTCAAAGCTACGGTCGGTTATGTGTTAATAAACACCATTAACGGCAAGTTGTAATAAACACCATTAACGAGTGATCTGGCGACGTGCCATGGATACCCTAATTTTTGCACTTCTCAGATGAACATTTGCACCTGGTATTCGTAGTGCACCCGAACGCGTAGTTAGACCGATGCTGTCAGGCCGACAGGACGAACACCTGGAGAAGGGGAACGTAGCAAAACACGGTGGAGGGTTAGGCAGGCGGTGTAAGCGTGAACAAGGAACCAGCTCACGCACATTGGAGACTATTGCCAAAGGCCTTCGGTCCTGCATTAGTCAGGTGATACACAGGACAAACACTCACGTCTTGTTTTCCCGCTCTGATCGCATTATCGCGGCGCAAAGCTGTTTTTCTCGCGTCTATTACTATCGCCATGATGACACCACCTTTTCTCGTCAACGCCCGGAACGCACAACCGCACGTGCTCCACGCGTCAGCATCGGTGCCGTCACCAAAACGACACATGCAATGGAAGACTCACCAGGCCAGTAAGGCTCGACCTCAACGCCAGCAGCCTTCAGGATGGTGCTGATCTTCTCGGCCTATACGAAAAAGGTGGATTTTTTTTCATAAACGTCACAACAGAAACAACGCGACCAGCAAGCGAGCGCGCTACTTACGGTGACGGCAATCTCATCGTCTTGAAGAATCAGGGCGCCGTAAACGCAAGCGAGCTCGTCGTTGGAAGGCATGGTGACTTGATGGGCTTGTTGGATGGTGCTGATGGCAAATAGTTTCAGTGCACGCCGCTGGATTAGCCTTAGCTCCCGCAGGAGAACGATGCACTCTTGCCGCGATGGCGTACAAAGTGAAAAGGAAGTTGCTCCACGGTTGTTCCCGCTGGCGGAAACCGACTCAGCCGTCAATAGATGGATAGATTAATTTGGCTGTATCACAGAACACCTAAGACTGGGCGACGGCTACCGCCATCTAGCCGTAATACCAGGCCTCGGAAACTCTCAAGTTCAAGTGCTCACCTGTAGGGGGAAAAAAAAAACAACCGCGGCGCGTTTCTGCTTCAAACACCTAGAGTGGATTTACTAACCTTTCTCGCCACTCGCGCTATTGCACTTTCTTGTAGAGGCGCCTTCACCGGGCCAAATTTTATTTTAAAATGATTAAATACTACATGTTTGCATACCGCTACAAATAAAATACATTTTGTTCTTCTATAAAGTAGTTTTTTTATAAACATGTGTTGCGTTATTAACTTTTTGTAATAGTTTTCGCTCCAGCTGACTCGATGTCAGTAGCAGCCTATCGACGTCATTATCCTCATTTCAAAGTTTGCGGCGGCCAACGGTTGCGACGGCAGGTAATGGCTCGCGGTACGTTCGGATGTGTGTTGGACTGTTTCGTTTCGCTGTAAATATTTCGAGCTTCTGCCGTCCGACACATTCTTTCTCATTCTGTTTATTTTGACTCGTTCAAATGCTTTCGCGGAGGGAATTCGAGTGACTTTCGGGGAACGAAGCGACCGTTGAAGCTTTCATCGGATGAACACCCGTGCAAGCCCGGGCCGGTGAGTAGAAACCACTTCAGTTTTTTTAAGGACGGTTGCTTGCGGGGCTAGTTGGTTCATTTCAACATATGTAGTTTTTTTTTTTTTGCCAATGACTGCGTAGGCGTCACACGGTGGCAGCGCATTGCAGTATTAAAATTTGAAATTGCTGAACGTCTCAATCAGTAACCGGAAAAACGTGCGTTACTTGCGGCGGGCATAGCTTCACGTGGGAACGAGTCGCTGACTCAATAGTTAATTCTGAAATTCTATCACCAGGTAACACCAACTAGGCCGTTGCGATAGATGAAAGCAAATAAATCACTGTTGCCTCGCTTCTCTTCTTAGCTAGCCCATATATTAGTGCAAAAAACCTACTAGTTAAGTTTGCTGCAGTCGCGTTTGAGAAACATCGCATAATTATGGGTCTGGTTTTGCTATAGTGTGACAAAGGAAGCGTCACATAAATGAGAAATACTTCTTTTTCTGCCACAGCCTCCTGGCCCACCTGACATGGAAGCAAATGTGTACAATGGGCAAGGAACCTGCTACATGACATGCCTTGTGAAGAAGCAGTCCTGAGGGATATACGTGTTATGAGGTACCACTACATATATGTATAAAATACTGCTGTTTACTAATTAACTGAGTTTATTTGTTTACTTTGGAACTTTTCATGCATTGATTTCATGCATTGATATCTAGTGATGTTACTTGTTTTTCCAGACTGCCATGCAATGACAGGATGACTACCCCCAAATGTCCACTCTGCAAGCACGTTGAAACATCTGAATGTCCACTACAACAGCTCATCTCTAACCTCACACATGTAATGCTGTATTTGTGAATGTTTTACCGCACATATCGTGGAGAGGTGCTTTAGATTGGCTACAAGCATTGCCTGCCTACCGTGGCATGGAATCTACACTTCAATAATGTTGGAACTGTAACACTATTAGTTAGATTGTGTGGCGCTGCTGAGCTCAACAACACAGTTTGATCCCAGCCACTGTAGCCATATTTCGATGGGGGGGAAACGCTAAGACGCTTGTGTGCTTAAGGGTTGTTCGATTCGCCTGCACCACATGATCCATTTTACAAAAGTGCTGCACCTCGCCATTTGTTTCAGTGGCGCAGCAATGGCATCTTCTAAATCTTGCCATTCATTTCAAAAAGCGCAGGAGAGGTACAGCACCAAAACTATTTCATGACTTTCCTGTACCTTCTGCTCTGACGGCGCTGGTTTGGTGCAGCCGCTCGCATAGCTTAACAAACAACGTAGCATTCGACGTAGGTGCTGTACCCACCCCTATAAATGCGGCGTGTTTTGCCAAGATGTTTGCACCTCATTAAATTAAGCGAACAAAAATAAGGATTCCACCTTGTTGGCACCTTGTCATTCACTTGCGATGCCGCACCGCTGAACTCCTGCCGCACAAGTTCTGAACTTCTCGTGCACAGCTGTGAACAAGTTCGGATTGGTGCAGGTGAACTAAACTGACCCTTAAAAGGTGGAAGCATGAAAATATGAAAAATATGTTAACATAAGGGGTCAAAGATAATTTTTCGACAAGCAGTCTTGTCTCCTGTTAGGCTACAATGTCATTTGTTTGAACCCCTGTAAGCCAGAATCAATCTAAATTTGCCCACTACTGTACGACTCACGATCACTTCATAGTTGGCATGTGAATCGTCGGAAATTATTAATTGCACTACATAATGAACACACCCACAGTGATGGGCATTAACAGGCTTTCCGACATTTAGTTGTGTCTTGTGACAGTTTACCAACACCCAGAACTGTTATGTCTTAATTAACTGTGTTCAGCTCATACAAGTTTACAAAAAGATGCACCAAAGCTCATAAGACTGCACTCAATTGCTTTAGCTTTGCACATATGTTCAACGGGCTCCTTAAATAATAAATCATAACGGTAATGAGCAGTTGCAGCACAGCTTTCTCAAATATGTGAATGCTGTCATGAAGAGCAAGATTGTGATCATTGAATGTGGTACTGTTTTTTTTTTTTTTTTGGCAGAAAAACGTTCCAGATTTTTTTGTGCACATCTGCTTCTGTTTAAATTAAGTTGTCATAACTATAGTGTCTACCACTACGAAGTGAATTTCTGTGCACTACAATCATGACAAAAAAAACCTAGGAAATTGCACAGGTAGCTGAAACATACATGATCTTCACTTATCTACAGCCAAACTGCAAGATAGTACGTATTTCAAGTCCTAACCTCTAAAAGTAGCAGGGAGAAAACAACTTCATTTTCAAGCACAAGTATACTGAAAAAGGAAACACAATAACAAGAGTGTAATAAATGTGACCTTTATTGATCCAGTATTCGGACAGATTCACATCATGTACCACCAACTGATTTCAGGAGTGCTTGCTTGCAAGAGAGTACTCAAGTTCTGTGGATATGTCTATGCAAAAAAAAAAGAGAGATTGTGCTCAGGGCTGAGCAGATAGTGTGATGTAATAGTACCAACAAAGATGTACAGGCAACAAAGTTGTACAATGCATACCTGAAGCTTATTTTCTTAAAATTGGGCCTTTTCGATCTGTAAGCACACACCTCATAAGTGTCCCTTTAGCAAACATGTTTGCTGCATACTCAGCAGACTAGCCATTACCTGCGACGAGAAATTCTAGCTGTGGTAACTGTGTAACTTAACTCTAACAATAAATGTAGCAAGCCTGAAATATTTTTAGGCCCATTCACTAAATACATAATACCTATGATATGGCCTCATGGCTGAGTATTAAAACTAGTGCCTACCCTCTCGACACAACGCGACATTGCAGAATTGTGAAGTACTCAATGTAGCATTGCAGAGCGAGAAAGATTCAGAAATACACGCATCCGCAATTGCTTATTTAATAAATTTAGCAAAACTACATTGCTCTAACTGCGCGAGCTAGCTATCGGCAATGTGCAAGTTTCCTTCCCGATTCCACATTATGCATTCGCTTCAAGATCAACACTACGGGGCAAGCGCCGCATCTGATGGCAGAATCGAACCCTTGTCCTGAAGCCACGCTATTAAACTCGAGCGCCGCAACACAATGAGAGCGACGTTCATTCAGCGATTTCTATGTTCAGTTATAAATATGCTTGTTAGCTTTCATGAGTCTTTACACATGGGTTGAAAGCTTTCGATATGTATGAGTGACTTGTTTTGTTCGGACCCGACCGTATACATTGATTGTACCGGCTTGGACACTCGCAATAAACGATGCAAACCTTACTTGATTTATTTGTAGATACTGCAATCCCACATGAGGGATTATAGCAGGGTGGGAAGTACAATCATAAAATGTTCCTAGTTGAACAAGAACAAAATACGGAAGTAAAGTACCATTCTCGGAATTACAAAAAAAAAGGAAAAACTGATATACAAAATTCACGAATACATGATCAACCATGGCGACAAAATACAACTCAAAATGTACAGGATAATAAATATTCCAGAAACAGAGTCACATACGCAAGGATTGGAAAAGAAAAAAAAAAAACACACGGGTGATAATTCTACACAATTTCAAATATATACACATATATACATACATATACATACACACATATGCACACATATATATTATGCAGTTAAACGCAAGGCAAACTTTTCAAGTGATGGCTGTAAAACAACGTCATTAGTTAGGTTGTTCCATTCCCCAACTGTTCTCGGAAAAAATGAATAAGTGAAGCAGTTATTGCGTGTTTGAAAGGGCGTAATGGAGAGGTTATGGCGATGCCTTGTCGGATACCCAGAGGAGAAAGACAATAATTTGCTAGTGTCTATCTTATAGTGCTTCTTAATTAGTTGATATAAAAATTTGAGACGAGAAATTCGGTTTTTTTCAGTTATTGGTGGAAGATTAGCTCTCGCTAGCAGTGCACTAACAGATGTGCGACCATAACTGTTGTATATAAAACGGGCTGCCTTTCTTTGTATTTTTTTTTTTCAATCTTCTTTTTATTAGTCAACGTAAAAAGATCCCATATAACGACTGCATAATCTAGAATGGGTAGAACTGTTGATTTGTACGCCAGCAAGCGCACAGTGGGAGTGGAGTGCTTGAGAACTCTCCTAAGAAATGAAAGTCTTGTGTTAGCACAAACTGCAACATAATCGATATGTTTATTCCACTTCAAGTTGTTTGTAATGTAAACCCCTAGATACTTGTAATACTGCACCTCAGCAAGGTATATATTGTTACAGCAATGTTGGAACAAGAGGGGCTCTTTTTTGTGTGATATGCGCATAAATACGGTTTTTTCAAAGTTTATGGGCATCTGCCAACTGTCGCACCAAGATTTAACTTTTTGAAATGCGGCATT